GCATCTACTTTGCTGTAAGACGTTTCTTTGATAATTTGCATCTCTTCTGCCAGGGATAAGTCGATTTGTCTCCATTCTGTCTGAGGTTGTGAAGCTGGGATTCCACTGGCGAGCTGGAATGTAGATTAGGCTCTGCTTGGCTTCTAACTAAACCAGGAGCCATTAGAGAGTAATCTGGGTACAGCCTCTTGCTGCCCCCTGGTGGAGAGGTGGGTATTGAGCAAGCCATAACTGAGGACTGTGGATTTCCTCAGCAAATGCTGTTAAGGTGTCTGTGTAAAGGTCCGTGGGGAATAATTACACTTAAAGCTATTAAGTTATACTCTATTGTGAAGCTAAATGTTACAATAAAATATCTATTGAATGGAGTTTGAAAGGTTGCTCTATAAGAGTCTGATTTCTCAATAATGGGTGCTTTAATTCCACTCTCTTTTTACTTCTGTTTTTTGGGAACTCATTTCTTATCTTTTTTTCTCTAAACTCTTCATTTTCTTCAATCATCACTTCATGTATCTTTAGATAATTATGAGATTCTTGTAAGGGGTTATCTTTACACATTTCCATAAAGTGAAAATCAGCATTTGACCCAAGAAAATTGTAATTCTTATATACTCCAGATCTTAAACTGGGATTTATACCTATACATTCAGATCAAAATCCAAACCGAAATTCACTTCAGGAATTCAAATGAAACATGTTAGTCTTATATCTTCTGAAAGTTCCTGAGTACAAGTCAGAGGCTGTCTCTTTAAGGCTTTTGCGTGCAAATTACATTTTGAAAGAAAATGTTTGTTTTTTTAACAGCCCTAAAAATGCCAACATTTTCAAAAAGTAGTCAGGTAGAAGCATGCTTTTTAAATTAAAACCTGTGACAGAATGCCTTTTAGAATCAAGGAAAATTTTTGGAGACTATCATATGGGTTATTAACACATTATGCATATGTATGCCTAGCCTTTCAAATGTGTTCCCGTGACTTCTAGAACTATTGTTTCTTGAGTTAAGAAATTCTTGATGCCAGGCTAGTATTTGGTTCTTATTGAAAGACTTTTTTTATTCATTACTTAATTCATTCAGTATTTATTCAACAAGTATTTACTGAGCACCCATGTGCCAGCAGGAGGGAGGATATACATCCCTGCATGAAAGTGCTTACAGAACTCGGTACAAATGTCTCAAGAACAAGGCAGACTGGGCAGTCAGTATCATAAGAGGGGTAGAGAGAAAGTGAGATGGGAGTTCAGAGATGGAAGAGATAAGTTCCAGATTTTGGGGGAGGTGAACAAGGGGCAGCGGAACTAGGAATTAAAGGATGAAGGGGATTTGTACATAAAATTATTCTAGATGACAGAAATTTATTCTAAAGGAATTTATTTGGAAATTTATTCTAAAGGAAGAATTTTTCTCAGGAAAATAAATTATACACAGCTAATATGTGCATGGAAATGACTTTCACCCACTCAGGTGACTTCTGAAATGTAAGAATTATTAACAGTTCAAATACTGTCAATTCTTGATCAACCTCTGTCCTTTATGTATGAAAAAAATTCTGCTCTCCTCCTCAAAATACTCTTCTCTCTTCTGACCAAAAACAGTAAAATAGGATAGGAAGAATAACTCTTTTATTCCCTTTCTCTGTCCCTATCTTTTCCTTAACTCACCAAAGCTACTCATTTGATAAATACTGTGCACTTGTTATGTGCCAGATACTCTGCTAGGTCCTGGAGGCAGCAGTTAACAAGCATACATGATCCTTTTTCTGAAAAAGCTTTTACTGGATGGAGACAGCCAGTGAAGGGATTCACCTCAGGTGAGGGGAGGATCGCCTTACACATTGTAACTGGAGGAATGGAAGATAGGGTGGTGGGGGCACAGGTAAATTTGTAGGTTTGGCATTAGTAAGTTGAGAGAGTTCTTGTCTGAGGACTTCAGTTTTTTTCCCCATAATTACAGAAAATTCAGAGAGTGGAATTAATAAAGGGTTGGACTTTGGCTAGGCAAAAGTGATGGAAGTAACGGGGAGAGGGGATTGATAACGTTGGCGTGCAATGGACTGGGAGAATCTAAGCTGTATAAAAAGAAGGGTACTGATGTGAAGACAGTAAGAGGTTAAGGACTGTTGATCCAGTAAGGTTTAAGATCAGATTTATAAGAAATAACTTGAGTAAGAAAGTTGAAAAGATAGGATGCTATCATCAGAAAGAAAAATGTCTGAATTTATGATATCAGATATGGAGTAATTCTGGATGATGGCAAGATTTGGGATATGATTTGAGAGCATGTGACTGAAGTGAAGTGAATATGAAGGTTACTGGAGCTGAGGACAGTGAAGGAACTGGGATGACAGAAGACTTGGGATGGAGAGGAACTAAAGTATTCAAGAGCACTACGTCTATGAATGGGAAAGTGAATGGGAAAAACATCTCTTCCCCATCTTAGGAGTCCCTAGCATTTCTCCCATCATTCTAATCTGACACCCCACCACTATATCTCCCTTAGAATCCTGGGTCTTAATGTGATCATGCCGCATGGGGACCCCTGCCCAGGCCTAGAACCCAGCTCTCCCCTCCACCTTCTTGCTCCCACCATGCCAGGGGCTCACTGCTGAGAGATCTCAGCTCCCACTTCCCACCTGGTAGAGAAACTGGTTCTGGGAACATGGCAGGATGTAAGCTCCCACTCTGAGTGCCAGAGCTTGTTGGGGGTGAGGGTGACCCAAGCTGAGGGAAGATGTGCTCCTGCTGTTTTAATCTTGATGGTGGAAAGCACTTTTCTGTAACAATCCTGGAATCCATAGTTGTCCTCTATAGAACCAACGGCCGGGACATCACTGGCCGGAACCAAATCACATGAGTGATTGGAGGAAAGTGGCTTTGGGGGGCTGGCTCTGGTTCCTCATCATCATGTTTTACGTTCACTTTATGGGCGAAGACGTTCAGTTTCAAACAATGCACTTAGAAATGGCTTTTCTAAATTAGGAATTGTCTGTATTAAAATTGTATGCTGGTCCCTAAATACTTCAGAAAACAGAGTGGTAAAAATAATGCTATCTATCAATGGGCAATTTTTCTTTACATTTCTATGAGCTTCTAGGAGTTGACAGATTGATCATCAGCAATGACGCTAAAAGAGTGCTTTGAGTTTATAATTTAGATATTTTAACATTAAAAAAATTATTTATCATGTTATGGAGGTCATTTGTGTTCACTGAATACAATTCTGAAAATGAAAAGAATAGAAGATAAATCTTTTGTACTCTCACCAACCAGAAATAAAAATCTTGGTACCATTTTCACTCCAGATACACATTTCTCTTTGCCCCTTCCCGAACTTGGAGTCATACAAAGTTTTGTAATGCCTTCCATTCATTTAATATAATGTGAGCATTTCCCTGTGCCATTGCCTATCTTTAAAAAATGATTGTGGCAGAGTCTTCTAGCTGTTCATCAAAATCCATTTTCTTCTCCTCGGGCATGCAGCTAGACTACATTTCCAGGATCCTTTGCAGTTACATGTGCTATTCCTGGGCCAATGCTTTTTTTTTTTGGCGGAACGCGGGCCTCTCACCGTTGTGGCCTCTCCCGCCGCGGAGCACAGGCTCCGGACGCGCAGGCTCAGCGGCCATGGCTCACGGGCCCAGCCGCTCCGCGGCATGTGGGATCCTCCCGGACCGGGGCACGAACCCGTGTCCCCTGCATCGGCAAGCGAACTCTCAACCACTGCCCCACCCGGGAAGCCCTGGGCCAATGCTTTTAAGAGGCAGATGTGTATCCTTTATGTTATCTTTTCTTACAGCTAGATGTAGATGATGACAAGGCCCTAGGGGAATTCAAAGTCAAAGGATGGAAGGAGCCTAAATTTTTGAATAATCATGTATTGAACACAATGTGGGTGAGAATAAACATCTATTGTGCTTGAACCATTATATATTTGGGGGTTTGTTTGTTACAGCAATTTTGCCTACTCTGTTTTTCATTGTATGGATGTACCTTAATTTTTTAAGAGATATGTTTCTTGTTAGCCTGTAATAAGTTATTGAAAATGGACCCAGTGACTGAATTGGGTCTCTCTGTGTCCACACCTCTTTGCAATACGTCTTTACTGCTTTTTCCAACAAGAGCTCGTGTTTGTTTCCCCATTTTTTGAATCTATTCTGCCCTTCTGACTTGTTTTGACCAATAAAGTGTGATGGAAGTGGCATTTGGGGACTTCTGAGTTCAGACTCTAAGAGGCCGTACAGCATCTGCCTTTGCTCAGGATGGATCCAATCGCTGCATAAAGAAGTCCAGGTTATCCTATTGGAGAGGGAGTCTACATGGGGAGATGGGTCCTAGAGGATAGATGCCATGTGGAGAGAGAAACCACACAGAGGAGAACCAAGGCCCCACACATATGTGTGAGCCAGGGTAATGCCACGGAAAAAGAGAGACCCAGCCATCCAGTTCACCCTCAGTCATTTGAGCCATCCCAATGGGAGTGCCAGACTTGTGAGTGAGGCCATTGTAGGTCCTCTAGACCCAGTAGAGCCCTCCCAGCCAACGCTATGTGCAGGAGAGACAAGCCATCCCTTCTGAGCTCTGTCCAAACTCCTGACCCACAGAACTGTAAGTAATAAAAGTAATAAAATGATTAAGTCGTGAATATGTTGACTAACCAGCAATAAATAACTGATACATAGATACTTATATGTTGCTAAAGTTTTGTTCCTGTAAAGGACACTGACAAGCATCTTTGTACTAGCTTCCTTGTTCATCAAGAGATTTTTTGCTGCTGAACTTGTTTAAGTCTGGAAATTGAGTAAGGAGTCATGTCTCCTCTCCATTTTGGTGCTCAGATTAGGTTTCTGGTCCCTGCTATATAAATGAAGTAATATTTTAATAGGCTGCTATCTATTCAATTCCTACAGGCACTACAATCAATTAGCTACTACTAAAGATTCCTGCTAGTCAAAATATTTGGTTAACATTTTGTCTCTACTGCCCATTATAGTAAATGCACTAACCTTGTCTCTTGTGGTTAATTGTTGCCACTTGGCCTTTGTCATTCTGGGATCCCATCGTTTTCACTGAAATCATGGAGCCGATTTCAATGGCGGTATCTTCTACCATCACCATAGCCTACAGAAGACAGCCATCACAGAACTTTGTGAGGACACAAAAGTAGCCCGTCATTAATGCCTTTCCCAATGCCTCAGTGGGGTGAGTGACCTCTCAAAGGACACAGTTGGGGGTGGGTGGGTGTGCAAGTCAGATTATATATGCACCCCATCATTCCAATCTCTCTGAGTCTTTGACTCCTCCTTCTACATTGTGCCAGGAAAAATCTGGTATTTTACCTTCAGTGAGTATAGGCTATAGTTGAGTTCAAGTTTCAAGCAACCAAGAAAATCATTAGACACACTTCTAACTGTAAGATCTTTTTTATTTTTTTGGTTGCACCACTCGGCATGCGGGATCTTAGGTCCACGACCAGGGATCGAACCCGCACCCCCTGCAGTGGAAGTGTACAGTCTTAACCATTGGACCACAGGGGAAGTCCCTAACTAAGATCTTTAGTAACTGTAATAATGACCCATTATCAATACATTTGGTCTAATCCAGTGTTTTATATTCCTTCCTCTTTTAGTCTAATAACTTAAAATCCACTATTATTTCCATTTCTGTCAATTAGCAACATTTTGCAATTATTTTGGAGTAAACCATCTCCTTCCATGTCAGACTTTGTACTTGCCCCCTTGGAGCAAACTGAGATCTGAACTGGGTTAGCTCTAGAGGTGATGAGAAGTAGTTGGAGTGGGTCTTGAGGTTATTATGGGGTCTTAACACAAGTTTCCTCAGACACAAGAAGGCAAGCAACTCCAAGATTCTCAGCTTTTCCCAAGTCAAACTAGATGGTTCCTATTCCAAGTCTCAGAGTTCTTCTTGCCAGTCAGTGCCCTAACTTTCACATACAAGATTTTCAAATCTATGAATTAAATTCTGGTTGAAATTCGGTAACCCACAAAATTAAATTCTGGGTCAAGGTCAGCCCTGCAGCTTTAAGAAACAGGTGATTCTTTTAGAGCCACTATAGAAACTCTCTGATTCTCTGTGACTTGAGCTAAGAGTTAATGATCTGAGCTTGTCATTTCTTGTAGAAGCATCATTGCTATCATAACGGTCATCTGGTCCCTCTTAGGGCCACAGAAGGCATTTCATCACAATCAACCACAGGTGATTAAGTATGTTGCCACAGGGTATCATGGATACTCAAATCCCATTTCCCCTTGCTAAAGAGATCACTATGGTGTTCAAAGCTAAGGATAAGCTCAGAGCAACCTCAGAATCCCATTTTGAGGGGCTGTTTATTAGGACCACTTCTTGTTTAAGAATCATGTTAGTAAAACAGACTCATACTAAGTATTTCACCAGAGAGAATTTAATATAATGAACTGGTTAAACAGACGTTTAAGAACTTAAAAGCACACATGCAACCCTGAGGTAACACAGAGATAACTGCTGAAAGCAGTTACAAGCCCTGGACCTGGGGAGACAAGGAGAAGACTAGAATTTAGATTGTTGGAGGAAGTGATCTGCAGAACTGGGACTCAGATCTTTGACAAGAACATCATCCAGGTGCTGTTAGTACCTTAGAGGGGTCAGTTAGTTCTGCCAGTGTGTAAAAATGAGTCAGGGACTAGAAGCAACTGTCATTACCTGGGATGAAGAGCTGTTGCCTGGCAACACTACCAGGAATAAGAAAACAAACAGGAACTTCTCTCCTCCTCCTGCCTTCCAATCTCCCTCTAGTGGTCCATATGGGTATAACCACCAGCTGGCAAAGACCATGTGGTTTTGCAGAATCCCAGCCCCGCATCACAGAGCAAGAAGCATGAGATTAGAGCTGAAAGACCGTAGCTGGATGGGCCAAAAAATGTATGTCTCCGAATATGCTGGTGTATGCACGCACACTCACACACACACACACACACACACACACATCCTAAGAGTTTGATACACAACGTTAAAAATAATTTTTTCTCATTACAATAGCAACATGTATTTCTTTCCTTTAGAAAGTACAAATAAGCTCATAGAAGAAAGAAAGATCCATCCTACTGCTGCAAAGATAATTTTGTCAACACCTTCATTTAGATCCTTCCAGACCTTTTTCTCTATGTGTGGAGGTATATTTTTGCATGTAATCACATTGTACATAGAGTTTTCTAAACTGCTTTAGAAAACACCTTAATGTATGGTAAACAATTGCACACATCAACACATATTTATTTATTTACAACAGTGGATTCCAAACTGTTCCTAGGAAGTGTCTTATGAGGTACTTCTAGGAGCCTGGGCAGGAGGCCTTTATGAGAGGGCCCTGCGTTCTCCTTTGTACCCTTAACCACTACAATTCTGCTTTTACTGTTTTATATATTTGATTGTTTTATATATAAGATTTTGTGGGGGAAAAAGAATTCCACTGCCAAAATATTAGAAAACCACTGATTCATTGTGTGAATATATCATTTTCCATTTTCATGATTACAACAACAAAGGAACACTTCGTATCTGAATTTTTGTCCAAAGTCCTAGTAACATGAGACACCATGCTTTTACTGTCTATATGACAATACCGCGAAATTATTTTAATCTGTATTTTTTGAATTGCTAATGAGATGGACAAGGTTGTCTATTTCATGGTCATTTGTGTCTGTGGCAGTCTTTCTTTGCAAATTTGAAATCTGAAAAACGTAGCCGTAAATCCTTACTTTCTCCCTAATATACAGAACACACGCCTCTTCCATATCCCCCAGTTCAAGGAAACTCTGATTTTAAATATCCACTGCTAGCCCAGAACCCATCTCCCTGCCCTCCCCTCTTGGTAATGATCCTCCTTCACTGACAACATAGGAGCTCCCTCATCTTTCTGTTACCATACCCCAAACACAGCCATGTCTAAAGCTATCTTGATTTTTCTTCCTGGCTCAGAGGATAAAGGCTTGTTGATCTTTAAGACAACCCCTCTACCTGAGCTCTTGATCCCACCTTTGCTTGTCTCCTCTGGGATGATGCTCACAAACTTTGTTGAATGAATAATGGATCTTTCTTCATCAATTCTCTCACCTTTATCTCTTTAGTAGGTCCAGCTTCTCTCACTCTTTTGGCCCCATTTCTCTTAGCCTGTTCAGGTGATGAAACCACTTTCTGTCTGTGATGGTCAGTTTTGTGTGTCAACTTGACTAGGCTGGGGCACCCAGTTATTCAATCAAACATGAGTCTAGGTGTTGTTGTGAAGGCATTCTGTAGATGTGATTATCAACTACAGTCAGTTGACTGTATGTAAAGGAGATTATCCTGGGTTATCTGGATGAGCCTAATCCAATGAGTTTAAAAGACCTTGAGAACAGAACTGTGGTTTCCCTGAGGACATGAAGGAGAAGAAATTCCATCTGTAGACTGCAGCTTCAGCTCCTGCCTGAGATTCCAGACTGCCATTTACAACAGCCTGCCCTATGGACTTCAGACTTGACTATTCAACCCCTACAGGCATGCGAGCCAATTTCTTTTCAAAAGTATATACATATATATATATATCGCCTACTGGTTCTGTTTGACTGGTGGAACCCTAACTGATACACTATCCTTAAAATTAGAACAAAACAAAACTATACCCTGCTTGATCCTACATCTCTCTGTTATCACATAAACTCGGCCTTCCCTTCTCATCTAAGCCGCTAAAAACATTATCCTATATTCATCATCTCTACTCCCTCCCTTTGCAATTACCCTTTGAGCTACAGTCCCATTTATTCAACTGGCAAATTGGACATACTCTTGTGGGCAGCATGGGCAATCTCAAACTCAGTACATCAAAAGTTCTCTCATTATTCCTATTATTTAGATGTATGTAAATTTGTTCTTCTTTTGGATGCCACATGTCACACCCAAGGCAAAAGTCTGGAAGTCATACTAGACATTTAAATACCTAAGTACCAGACATCTAAATAAGTCATACTGTCCATCTTCAGTGCCAGTGCTGGAATTCAGGCCTTCATTATCTCCTGCCTCAGCTTTTGTAACAGATTCCCTTAGGTCCCTTCCTCCAGTCTCATCTCCTTCAAACCTGTTCTCCAGAGTGCTCGTCCTCTGATGCAAGGTGCCCAAATTGCCCAGCCTAAATCTCAGTGACTCCTTTGTCACCTCCAGAAAGGGATCCCTAAAGCAGACCACCAACATAAGGCGCTTTTAAAAAAACCCAGATTAGAGCCCTACTCAGACCTAATGAATAAGAATGTGCAAAGTGGGGCCTGAAAATTTTATAAATATTTTTAAAAGACTATCCAGGTAATTGTGATCAGCCAGGTTTGGGAATCACCAGCCTTCAGGGTAGGTCCAAATTCTGTCCCTGATCTGACACCACTACTCCCAGCTTCATCCCTCAGAACACATCATGCTCCAGCAATACTGACTCAGCCAGGACTAATGATTCTTCCAACTCATGTTGTTTACCACCTCTCTGTCAGGAATGTCTTCTTCCCTTATCTGCCTGGGAAATTCCTACTCGTCCTTCAAAAACTCTATTCAAGCATCATCTAGTCTCTTATTTAGCCAGTAAATATTGACAAACTAGTAAAATTGTACACATTAACTACGTGCAGTTCTCTGTATATCAGTTGTACCTCGACAAAGCTGTTAAAGCCTTACTGAGGTCTTACTACACACCAGGCCCTGAGCTAAGCATTGTGATATAGAGATCAGTAAGCTACATTGGTAGTACTGCCTTCAGTCAGCTCACCTGCCACTGGAGAAAGAGACATACAAATATACAGATTAATACAGTACAGTGAGGTAAATTCTGTGAGAGTCTGTGGTAGCCTGAATAATGCCCCCCCACAAGACAGCCACATCCTAATCACCCAAATCTATGAATACGTTTACTTAGATTGCAAAACAGATTGTGTAGATATGATTAAGTTAAAGACTCTGAAATGGGGAGAGTATCCTGGGTTATTCTGGTGGGCTCAGTGTAATCACTAGGGTCCTTCTAAGATGAAGGCAGGCAGGGGGTGAGAGAGAAAGAGAGGCTGGAGGAAGACTGGAAGATGCTATGCTACTGACTTTGCAAATGGAGGATAGAGACATGAGCCAAGGAATGCAGGTGGCCTCTAGAAGCTGAAAAAAGCAAGAAAATGAATTCTCCACTAGAGCCTCCAGAAGGATCCAGCCCTGCCAACTTTAGTCCAGTGAGATCCGTTTTGGACTTCTAACCTCCAAAAATGTAATATAATAACTGTGTTGTTTTAAGTGACTATGTTTGTAGTAATTTGTTACAGCAGCAATAGGAGGCTAATACAGAGGCCAGCACAGGGCACTACGGATGTACATAAAGTCGTCTCTACATCAAGCTATGGAGTGGGAATGGGATGCTCAGGAAGAATTACCTACAGGTGATGACACCAGAGCTGAGGGAGATTGTGTTTCAGGGAAATGGCCCAGATAGAGAAATTAATATGTACAAAGGCACACACAGAGAGCATGCAAAGTGTTTCAGTGTAGCGTGGCTATCTGTATTAAACAGTAAAAATAATATCAACAATACTAATTCTGCTAACAATAAATACTGTTTGTATGCCAGACACTATTCTAAAGCACTTTTTAACTGTGAGCACTTTACAAGTTTGTATTATTATCTTCATTTTACCTGTAGGAACACTAAGATTTGGAGGAGTTAGGTAACTTCCTGAGATCATAGAGCTAGTAAAGGGCAGATCTAGAATCAAAACCTTGCTGGTCCGTCTTCAAAACCCACTAACTGCCTCTCTAATACATTCGCGGGGGGCCTTAAGTAAGCTGGTATCAGGGTAGCTGAAGATAAATGAACTATTAGAAAGATATAAATGAGGTGAGGATCAGGAAAGCTTGGTATATCGTCTTGTTTTGGACACTGACAGAAGATGGGGTTGATGGACAGTCAGACGGCCTCCAAGTTTCTATGATCGTGGTTTTGCTGCTGCTCCAGGTAGAGCCTTCCTTGACTAACTTAAATTACTTCTGCGTTACAAATGCACACTTTGCATAAGCCTCTTTATTTCATTTCTTCCTTTCCCGCTAATGCTTGAGGTGGAGATGGGGGCGTATGCACCAACTCAACTGCGGACCTCACTTTCCACATCTGTAAAATACCTTGAAGTAGTACCGAAACTGGTTGTGCTTCAGAATCCCGTGGGGAAGCATAAACACAAAGCGGATTCCTCGCCCCATTCCGAGATTCTGATTGAGTAGTACAGGGATGCGGTTCCCCCAAATTCTCCCAAGTAATTCTGATACGCGGCCAGGTATTAATGACCAGGGGCTGGATGACTCTCTGGGTTCTTCAGGTTCACCGTACTTGGTCCACTATTTCGTGAAGGAACCTCCCCTTTCCCCTCCCGGGCCCCGCCCCCGCCCCACCCCTTGCCCTCTACCTTCCCCTGACGTCGGCTCATCGCTCCTCCTTCGGTCGCTCCACTGGGTCTCGCTCAGGTCCGCCTTTCCCAGTCCCTCTCCTGCCTCCCAAAATGGCTGCGCTGCTGCCGGGCCCGCAGCCATGGAACCGCGTGAGGCTCCCTAAGGCGGGGAGCCGCAGCACAGTGATCGTACAGGACCCTGGCGCAGCGATGGGTGAGTGAGGCGCCCGGCGAGGGGTGCAGGCTTTTCCGGCGGAGGCGTCAGGCAGGCGCACGTGCGCGGGGTGGGGGCGGGACTTCCGGAACCCGCGGGACGCTGCGCAGGGCCGCGACCGATAGAGGCCTGGGTCCTAGAGCTTGCTGAGGAATTTTGCAGGCGTCGCCGTTCCTCGCTGGACCCACCGAGTCTACCGCAGGGCCTGGCTGGGGCGCCGAAGGCCCAAGATCCAGACCCACACCGAAATGGGGAAAGAGGGCGGACGCAGCTGGCGTCAGGAAAAATTGCTGCTTGGGGACCTGCGTTCACTCAGGCCACCAAGTGCTGTGGTTACCCCTCAGTCTTTCTCGACCTCTGCCTCTGAGAGGCTGCGGGTCGTCACTCAAGCACTCTGCAGTTAAACCGCAATCTTTCTGGATCCCCCGTTTCTTATCTGTAAAATGGGGTTAGTTTTCCCTATCACCGGGTTGTTGGGAGGATCTAATGATGTCATTTAGGAGAGCGTGGTCTAAAGTGTTCTATCAAGGTATGGTGGCATTGCCGTTATTAGGCAGTAGGGCAGTACACGCTGGGCTCAGGAGCCAAATTACCTGGGTTTGAATCCTGGCTCTTCTCTCTGCTGGAGCTGGGGTGAGGAGTGGGAAATGTCATTATTTAACCTTTCTGGGCTTAAGCGCATTTTCAAATGGGGATAAAAATAGTACTTGCCTCATAGAGCTGTTCTGATGAAAGAATTAACATTATAGGTAAAGCATTTGGAACAATGCCTGATACAGTAAATAAACACTCAAATGACAGCTGTTATTATTAAATACTTGTAACTTATCTAATCATCACATCCCCCTCCCCATCCATCCATCCTGCTCAGTTTACAGATTAATCTTACCCCTTCCTCTATTCAAAGATTCTTTAACAGGATTCTGTTAGGCGTGGAAATTCACCAAGTCTCCCCCCACCCCAAAGGCAGCCCATTCTGGCCTCCAATAGTTCGTATAGTAAGAAAGTTCTCCACATTGTGCGTAAGTCTTCCTTTGCGTTACTGCCACTTAGGCTGGTACTGCTACCCTTAGAGCCACAGAGAACACATTTACTCCCATCTTCTGTTCACAGCTTTTTCAGACTAGGAGGCTGTTACCTTGTTTTACTAAATAAGCACCCCGTGTTCAGTCAGACATTCATTATGTAATATAATTTCCAGCTGTTATCGTGATTTCTCTTCTGAATATATTCTTAAAGTGGTAGAGAAGTATACAACACGTCCCACCTTTAAGGTACTCGAAGTGTTAAGTGTACACCAAATGACTGCAGAGTATTCGTATGAAAGATTATTAAAATCATGATAAAATGTGGTGTAAAGATGTACATTCTACTTTAACACATGTTCTCTTAATGATTTCCTGGACTTGATATCATCTGTCACTGTACGATCACTTCCTTCCTATGTCACTTCTCACATACTTGGAAACATTAATTGTGTTCTTACAGGTAAGGCTATGTTAATTTGTTCTTGATTTCTTTAAAACATAAGCAAATATGCTTCTTTCAGTGTATTTTTTATATACTTAATGTAGAAATGCATATTAAGTCTTACAAAACATCTCTGCTTTAGACCTTTGCATTGCAGCTGTAATTAAAGAATGCTGTCTCGTTACATTGTCACTGAAGAGCCAAATCTTAGATGCAGAAACAGATGTATTATGTGCAGTCCTTTACAGCAATCACAACAGAATGGGCCGCCACAAGCCCCATTTGGCCCTCAAACAGGTAAGGTGGGAGCCCTGTGTTTAATACTCAACATGTTTGAGTTGATGAAGATGGAGATCACACTGCCATTTAATATTTTGTAACTTAATCGCAGTAACTTACTTGTGATTTATAGGTCATCTTGCAATTGCATGTGGGCTTTTTTTTTTTCTTCCCCTGAAAGCATTTCAAAAAACAATTTAAAAAGGAACTATGTTGGATTCTTTCCCAGTCTTGTTTCTAGTAGGTAGGTAATTTTTTGTTTTTATGTTTACTTTTTATTTATTTATTTATCTTATTATAGGTAATTTTTGTGAAAAATTTTCTTCATTATATGCAATCTGTAATAAAGTACCATGCCTCTGCCTAGTTTAAAGATTGAGTACTTTGATCAAGACAGAGTTTTGGATTAAGAAACAATTTTCCTGACCATAATCAAAATCCCAAAATCATAAAAAGAACAAAGTTGCAGTCTATTTATTGTGGGGTATGTAATCTAATCGGTAATATATTGAATAAGTATATAACAAGTTGTGTAAAGTGGTTTTGTGTAACTTTTGGAGTTTAAGACAAAATTGGGCCCTCCAGCTCAGGGACTACACCACAGAGTAGAGCCTCCTAACCTGAGTTCCTTACGTGTCCATTCATTCATTCATTTTATTAATTCTCCAAGTATTTTTGAATCTTTCTATGTGCCAGGCACTGTGCTTCGTGCTAGGTGTACAGGATGAAAAAGACAGACATAGTCTCTAACCTTACAGATTCATGCTCTCTGGTTAGTTTTCCACTCCCATTACTTAAGGCAAAAAAGATGAAGATTTTTTCATCAAAGAAAGATTTGGGATCATGGTCTTTCTTAAGTTTTCTTCTCTGGGGCAGCTTTTATCTCCTTCTGAGTCTTTAACGCCAAAACCAAACTTACCATCTCAGATTGAACATACGTATTTCTCCTCCCGGCTTCCAAGTTGCGAATAATTATCCGGTCAGAAAAATTTGGTGTTCTGTTTTCTCTGCTTCTTTCTTTTACGTAGCTCTCCTATCCGGCCAACTGATCAGTCAAAACTTTCTCTGCATCTAGTCCGTTTTTAGTTCTGGCTGCCATTTCTTTTTTCGGACCTTGTCAATTGTTAGTTGTCTTGCAATTCTGACTGATCTTTCATCTTCCAGTCTTTCCTCCACTCTGGCATATTCATGTGTACCAAAGCCAGGTTAATCATGCTAAAACACAGCTTTAAGTTTTAATATTTCTCCACTGTCTCCTGAATAAAGAGGAAGCCTCTTAGGTTAACTTACAAGATCCCCCGTGATCTGGCCTCTTCAGTTTTCCTTAACTCAGGCTTCTCTCTGGTCTTCATCTTCATATATTTTGTATTTCAGACGGCCTGAACTCTTCGTGAGTCCTCCTACTCACCACATTCGTTCCCTCCTCTGAGCCTCTGCTCACCTGGTCCTGTATATTTACAATGCCCAATCCCTCTATCACTTGATCCCTTATGTCTGTGGCACTTACAGACTGTTGAAATTTAGTACTTAATAATTTACTATCTTGTTTTAATAGTTTCACTATTAGAAATCATGTTGCTTCAGAAAGAATATAATCTTGAGAATAATCTTATACTTACCTTGGTCTCCTTTATAGCATCAAGCACATCCTGGCATGTAGTACAATAAATTCTTAGTCATAACCTGATTTGAAGAATTTATTTGGCTGGATAAATTTCAAATTTTTAACCAGAAGCAATTGCTTTGGGCTATGGGTTTCCTTACCCTTAAAAAAAGGTATTCTTTGGTATTGAGTGTATTTCCATACTTTGAAATTTTGTATTTCTTTGTTTTCCTGGTCACATCAGTGGCTTTGTCTGTGTCACACATGAGCTGCTCTTCCCCTTTCAGGTTGAACAATGTTTAAAACGCTTGAAAAACATGAATTTGGAAGGTTCAATTCAAGATCTCTCTGAGTCATTTTCTTCTAAGTAAGTGGTCCAGTTGCTTTGTAATGGGCTTTTTGGTGGGCTGGGAACCCAGTGTCTTGTTGTGACCTCGCTTTAGACTTTCTTCACTTATTGTTAGAATATAAACAATTATACCTTAGCTGTACAAATTTTGTTTCAATAAAAGTCCCCTGGTATTCTGTGGTAATCTCCCTCTGTTGGCCAGTGGGAGGAAATGATGTGACATTGAAATCTGGGTCATGGTAGATTATTTTGAAACATAAGTGTCAGTCAACTTCAGTGAGTCATTATTAAACATAACTACCTCAAACTGAGCTTAAAGCAAGTCTGCACTTGAAAACTGCTATATAAGTGCTTTATATTTAAGAATGAAAGTAATGTACTTTTCTATTTTTCCCAAGTGAAAATCAGCCTGTAAATACCAAAGCATGTGTCATCCCTAGCCAACCAGTGGTGGAACTGGTGTTGATGAAGATTTTGGGAGCCTGCAAGTTGCTACTTCGCTTGTTGGACTGTTGCTGCAAGACATTTCTGTATCCTTGAATCAACTAAAGTACCTTCTTCTGAATTGGAATTGTTGGGATATATTTAATAGTATTTCTACTTGAAAGCTAGGGAGTCTGTAGGAGTTATAACTTACGGGAATTCTTAAAATTTTGCTCTTTGGCTTCCTTTTCCTGGGATTTGCCTGATATAGCCATTGCCAGAGACTTCTATCTCTACCTAGTATGTATTATCCTAAGGGCACTGACTGTTAGAAATTCTTAATCTTAGAAACTAAATTTATATGAGACCTCTAGCAGAGTGTGTATTACTTTATTTTTCCTCTAGCAGAGTGTATATTACTTTATTTTTAAGCTTCCATGACTTAAATAGAACATGTTTTAAGGTTTTAGTTCCTTCAAGAAAATTCTACCTTCAGTCTGTTTTTTTCATAAATGTAACTTAAAAAACCCTAAATTCCTTTGATTCTGTTTTCCAATTTTAACTTGATTCTCCAGCTTGACTGTGAAACATCTAGGTTTGCAAGAATTCATTATTTTAAACCTTGTGATGGTTGGGCTGGTGAGCAGGTTATGGTATGTATGTATGTACCTTTGAAATCCTTCATTTCTCTAACTCAGACTAAGTTTCTTATTAGTAGTTTTCATATTTGCTTTCCCATGGGATGCTGAAGGTGCAGGAATTCTGT